ATTAATTTATTTTCAGATAAATCAGAATCCAAAATCAAATCAATTTTATTTCTAAGCACATTTTAAAACTGCCAAAGTTGACCAGAGGGCGGAAGAATCCAAAGCTACAGCAGTTACACGCACAACTTCTAAAACAAGATTAACCAGTAAAAATCTATGAAATGAAGGGATTAAACATTGCTACAAACACGTCTCAATCTCTTTTACTAAATTTCTGCAGAAATTTGGTGTTTTAGTAGCTGGGAGCAGCTTGGTAGCTAATACCGTTAGCGTCTAGAATGGTTAGGTTTTTACTGATTCAAAGCTTCGTTAAATGTGCGCACCACAGTGTTTTACTGGCCCTGTGGCCCACAAGGTGGTCGTCTAGGCGCTGTGGAGGAAAACAGAGAAACCAGCAAAGACAAAAACCATCATAAAAGACAGAAACGGTCCAAAGTTTGAAATCAAGAGTTAAACTACGGGCAGATTAGCTAATGCTAGCGCGTAGCACGCTCACGATCAAATGAGGTCAGACAAAACCACGATGATTGTGAATGACTCTACAAGTGGAAGAAGAATGCCCACCATCCCGTTTATGTGTGGATGTCTGCAGCTGCTACCTGGAGTCTGCTTGTTGCTACTGAGAGTCAGCGACTCGAGTCTGCTCCACACACCACAGCTGGTATGGCAAGCCATTGTAGCATGTAATTCACACATGCTACTTTATTTGAATACAGTTTGGATTGGATTATGTTGCCAGCCCGTACTAGAGGGAACTAAACAAAACCAGATTGATACATCTTATTGAGCCTTTTAGAAGCAGACCACGGTCTCGATTCATTTGAATCGTCGTCAAATCGAACATTCGATAAATCAGCGGAGGATTCGACTGCTGCAGCACGATTTACCCCTCTATTATTTTAAAACCGTGTTGTTTCAAAACCATCTCCTGTGAGTCTCGGGCCACTCTCTCAGCACCCCGCCACAGAACCGCGCCAACCCAGACGCTAGAACCACGTTTGCCAGAACATCTGGAACAATCACAAGCCCCAGATGTTTGTCACACAATTGTTTCATTGTTGTCACAAGGTTTTTGGATCCCGTCTCGATTTGTTCACCACCACCCCAACCCCCATCTCCGTTTGTCTCCAACTCCTCCCAAAGTTGTCTCATGGTTACGGCTCAGAAGCTAAACGGTGTGTGTGTGTGTGGGAAGTGATATTTTGTCTCTGCATTCTTTAGACTTAAACACACTCTGCACCTGTTCCTGTCTGTCTGCAGCACACACACACACACACACACACACACACACACACACACCCCACTGTCCAACAACACATTCAGTGGGAAAAATTTCCTGCATGTCTGAAACATGAGCCTAAATATTTTCTGCAGGATCAACACAGGCATGCTGCGTGCGTGCATGTGTGTGTGTGTGTGTGTGTGTGTGTGTGTGTGTGTGTGTGTGTGTGTGTGTGTGTGTGTGTGTGTGTGTGTGTGTGTGTGTGTGTGTGTGTGTGTGTGTGTGCTGGGTCAGAGTTTTAATGACCTCTCCAGACAGTTATGTGTGTATTTTCCAGTTGTGTGTTTTTGTGGGATTTGGATCCAGGATGCTTTTCCGTGTTTCCTCTCCTCTCTGTACGATTCACTCTGAACGGATTCCAGAGGAAATCAGTTGACCACAGCTGAGCGTTCTGTGTCAGCTGCTCAACAGAACCTTCCTCCTCTCGTCGAGGTCAGGAACCACCACGGTGGTTCTGATCTTTACCCGCTAGATCGGACCGTCCTCTGCTGGTTCTGTTAACGAAGAACTGTTTATCACAAAATCAACTGTAAAAGATGAAATATGTTAAAATATTTTAGTCGCATTCTGCTTTTGAAGCATGCTTTTATTTTGAAATTATGGTCACTTCCTCCTCTGACGCTCATAATCCATCTTGTGGGAGAGTAACGATGGCAGAATGACAGTAAAACTCACCGGTGTGGTGCATCCAGCACTAACATTGTGTTGAGTTTGCCTGCATATGACCTCAGGTGTGGGTCAAAAAGCCCCGCCTACTACACCCCCAGCAGGTCCCTGAGGTCCAGTGACCAAAGCCTACTGGTTGTGCAGCACCAGGCTAAAGGTCAAAGGTGACAGATCATTTGCTGCTGTGGCTCCCAGACTCTGGAACTCTCTCCCCCTGAGCCTGAGCTCAGTGGACTCAGTGGTCTCCTTTAAACTCACCTGTTCAGGTTTTGGTGTGACCTTCACCACTCTCTTTATTCTGCTCTCCCCACCTATTCCACCTTCCCCAGGATCCACTGATTTCCCTCTTTCCTGTTCACTCTCTCTCTTTCTTTACATTTTTCATCACAATTGTCTATTTTTTGCTCATTTTAAATATATTTTTAAACATTTTCTAAATTCTTTTTAATATTTTTACATTTTTTGTTTTTGTGAAACGCCTCTTCTTCTTCTTCTTCTGGAAGAGTAACGATGGCAGAATGACAGTAAAACACATGGGTGTGGTGCATCGAGCACTAACATTGAGTTGAGTTCGCCTGCATCTGACCTCAGGTGTGGGTCAAAAAGCCCCGCCTACTTACCTGACACAGTCATGGTGAAAAAATTTTTATTTTTTCATGTATAGCTGAAATGTGAGTCAGCTGATGCTGCTGTTTTAGTCTGGAAGGTTGAATGAAACTAGTTTGACTTCAGAGATGATTTAGATGCTTTTGTCAGTAACACACATCATACTCAAACAGTGGACCAGAACAGGAAATGAGTGATTGTTTTCATTTTAAACTCATTTAAAATAACTTCGTAGCAGAATTCTGACGACCCCGTGACCTTGTTGACCTCTGATTGAACCCGACGGTGTCTGAGCTTCGCTGGACGCTGTTTTACCTCTCACCAGTTTCTTCTGTTTGTTGTGTTGAACGCGAAGGAACCAGAAGAACCCAGAGCCATCTTTTTTTTTCCACAGGAAGTGCTTTAAGAACTTATTTTCCATAAGTTCTCCGGGAGAGTGGGAGAGTTTTTTATCGTCCTGCATTTTATCATCTGATCTGTTTTTACACATCTGTCTTCCATCCAGATGTAAATTCTGAGTTGTCCCGAGCAGCTCGTGTCCTCGGAGCAGAGCGAAGGCGGCAGATGTTTCAGGGTTTACATCATTAGCTCAGCGTCCAAACTCAACCCTCGTCTCCTCACGCATCCGCCATGTTTAGGAACGTCACCCGTTGGCATGACGATGGCTCAGGTGGTCAGAAAGATGGGCGTCACGTTTCAGAACCCACTTTAGATGTTCAAACATTTTGTGTGAAATCTAAAATAAATGTGACCTTTAAATACAATCTTAGATTATTTTTTACTCATAAGTCGGACTAATAAAAGGTTTTACTTTTACTCATTTTTAACAAACCTGAAGTAAGCAGGTTTGGTCACATTTCGTATTTTAAATATAAAAAAAGAAAGTATTTATAAGAGTTCATCAACAGTAGAACTGAAGTTGTAAATGGTCTTATTTTTAAAAATTAAAAGTATTATAAAATCAAGCATTTTACATAGGAGTCAGTGGGGACGCCCTGATGTGATCACAAGATCTAAAATTGGGTCCAATCACGTGATTTTAATGAAATCAGAAAAACAATGGCTTAGTTTTAAATTCAACAGGTTCCTCTACACCAGTAAACCCTGTAAGGTCCCACAATTTAAAGAGCAAGTCACCCCCAAATCAACTTTTTTTCCTGATAAACTACATAAATGCGTGTCTAGTCGTGCTGCAGACACGTGTCGTCAATAGTTTTGCACTTTAGTGCATTTTAGTTAAAATTTTAATTTTCTGTCTAAAACTGTCAGTGTTGTGCCGTCGTCAGGTAAAAACTCTGCACTGCATTTGAATTTAAATCTGCCATCGCTATTGGCTAAGAAGTACCCTAGAACGTTAGCTGGTACCATATGATGTCACAATGTCGTTGTGAGCCTGTGTGTGTGTATTTGTAAGCGGCTCCGCCCTCTCGGTCTGCTAGGCAACAGCATTTGTTGCATCTTTCAAACAGGAAGTGGGAGTGGAGTAATACTCTGGCAGGGGGTGACTTGCTCTTTGAGGTAGTTTGGGAATTCACGTACATAACATCATAGTTGTCCCCCCAAGAGAGAAATGTCTGTAATTTGGATGCATTTTACCAGGAACAATAAAGGGAGAGTAATAAACACATGTCATGTGTGCAAGCTGCGCATTAAACCAGGTGGAAAAGGTAGAGCTGTGTTCAACACTGGTGCGCCACCTTAAAAAAAGCTGACCCTGCTCAGTTTGGGCTAAGCCTGCCGTCACTAAAGATGCATTATGAAACAGTCTCCGGACGGCAAACGTGCCAAGAGAGCAGACTGATGAGCGCCCGTGGCTGCAAACGTCGGGTTCTGCCGTCTCCTCGAGTCGTGGTATGATCCGCTTTCTCGTCCTACCTTTACAGACGCAGCAGCTCTACAGGTGTTTAGTAGAAAAAAGTCACTGCTGCTGGCCGTCATGTGCCGTGCCATCCCTGCCACACACCGAGGCTACTTTTACATTTATACTTAATATTAACATGTTTGTTATTCGTGTACGTCCTAAACGAGGGATGTTTTATGGCAGATAAACTAAAGAAGTGACATAAATACGTAAAGAAAGAAAAGCATCACTGATAACATCTCAAAGGACATCTCTAGAGTGTTCTTTTTTCTTCACGCGTTTGTAAAGTGTTGGATCGGGACTCGGTGTCGGCAGTTTCTTACAGTCACATGACTCTGAGTCGCACTGGGAGCAACAAAACGTGGCGGGAACGTCCCTGGGAGTGAGGACTCCTACTGAGGGGGTAAAATAAGTATTTGCGCTACTTCTGTTGTTTTACTCCTTTACCAGCCGCGAGGATAATAACCGTGATGCCGAGTCAGTCCGCTACTCGACGAGTCGCTGCGCCTTACGATCCACCGGAGGTGGTTTTGCTTCGGTTCTCCAGCAGAAAACTCAGGTGTGATTTGTTTTTGTGTGTTTCAGGTGTACGCTCCTTCCGCCAGCACAGCCGACTACAACAGGGACTCACCGGGTTATCCCTCCTCCAAACCCCCCAGCGCTGGCTTCCCCAGCTCCTTCTTCATGCCAGGTGACTCCACCCACCCCCTTGGGCTCGTCATGGTGGAATAAAGAGCTAATTATGTCATTAACTGTCCAAACGCTATCAGAATATAAGTCTGGGTGGCACCATCACAGATGTGTATACAAGGCCGCACTCGGACTGCTGCCTTCTGGAGTTAAAGCATACCGGTCCACCCAGACTGCTGCTTCCTGTCCGTTCACACGCTCTGATGCTGGCTAAGAGATTTTGTCCACTTAGCACCCTCGGTTGCTGAAGCCATGAAGTGTGGTTTTGAGTCTCCGCCGGTTTCTCTTCCCTCAACAGATGGTCACCACAGCGGCGACCCCTGGAGCAGCAGCAGCAGCAGCATGAGTCAGCAGGGTTACCATAGCAGCATGCTGGGGGGTGGGAACTCGGCTCACGGCCCCGCCCAAAGCTCCTCCTACTGCGGGATTCACCCACACGATCGGCTGGTGAGCTACGTTCATTCATGAAGTTTCTGGAGCATTTATCCAGCATGATGTCATCGTCGTGGTGATTGATGTGATTGGATCACGGCTTTAACCCGTCTCTAGGGTTCACGGTGGTTTTGTGCCTCTCTCCAGAGCTATCCCTCACACTCGTCCGCAGACATCAGCTCCAGCCTTCCTCCCATGTCCAGCTTCCACAGAGGGGCAGGTGGTGGGGGCGGGGGCAATCATTACAGCACCGCCTCCTGTACCGCCTCCACCAACGGGACAGACAGCGTCATGGGTAAGGAGCCCGTCTTTAATCCAACAGGATCTCTTTTGGGTTCTGCTTCCGAGGTGGAGGGGTGCAAGTCAGGCTGCACGATGAACCAAAAGTGTGTCGTTGTCTCGATACGACAGACTATCGTTTAGCCAGTCAGGCGTCGTCGTTGCGCCAACAGAAGTGGTTCAGATGCGGTCACAAGGAGGAAGGTTTGAGTTGTGTGGCAGAACAAGACAAGGATTTCCTAATACGATCGAACACGACAGACTCTAAACTAGAACATGATTCTGCTCTGTTAGCTTTAGCAATGCTAACCATTTGGTTTGGTGATTAACGAAACGTTTTATAGAAGCTGGTATTTAAAGTTTCCCCGGTCCTGGAGCCGCCATCCAGCACGTTCAGAGGTTCCTTTGCTCCATCACACCTGATAGGCTTCTGGAGAGCTTCATGAGCTGCTGCACAGGGGATTCAACCAGGTGTGTTGGATCAGAGAAACGGCTAAAGCCCTAGAGAGCCAGGGCTGCAGACCCCTGCGCTTACTGATGTTGTCACGGTGACGTTCAGTTCAAAGTAAGTTTGTAAATCAGAGTGTTTGACACACTTGTCCTGATACCTGAGGATTTACAGTAAATAACGTAATAATGAGTTTATTTATTGACTCGTAGATGTCCCAACCTGGACACCGTAGCAGAGTCCTGTCACCTTTTATATCAGAGACAGAAGCTAGTCAGAGCTGATGAAGCTTCCCGATGGAGGAAGTGTGTGTGTGTGTGTGTGTGTGTGTGTGTGTGTGTGTGTGTGTGTGTGTGTGTGTGTGTGTGTGTGTGTGTGTGTGTGTGTGTGCGTGCGCATGTGTGTGCACGCGCGTGCGTGTGTGTTCTTGTGTGTGTGTGTATTCTTGCATGTGTGTGTGTGTGTGTGTGTGTGTGTGTGTGTGTGTGTGTGTGTGTGTGTGTGTGTGTGTGTGTGTGTGTGTGTGTGTGTGTGTGTGTGTGCGTGCGCATGTGTGTGCACGCGCGTGCGTGTGTGTTCTTGTGTGTGTGTGTATTCTTGCATGTGTGTGTGTGTGTGTGTGTGTGTGTTTTGCATGTGTGTGTGTGTGTGTGTTTTGCATGTGTGTTTGTGTGTGTGTTGTTGCGTGCATGTGTGTGTGTGTGTGTGTGTGTGTGTGTGTGTGTGTGTGTGTGTGTGTGTGTGTGTGTGTGTGATAGCGTAAAGTTCCCATCTGGGATTCTGTACCAGGAGAGGATCTGGGAATGAGTCAGACTCCGTGTGCATGTTTGGGCGCTCAGCTGTTCCTGTGAGGTCACTTCCTTCCTCTTTGGACTCGTTGAGTGTGTGAAACACATTTAGATGAATTTAGGATCCACACACGCACACACACACACACACACACACACACACACACACACACACGCCGTCCCGGAGTTCTAATGGGATCAGATTCCAGGTTCAGTTCTGTTGTTGCTGTTTTCTCTCATTCCACCTTAACAGGATTTCCAGACCCTTCAGTTTGTTTCTGAGCAAAACTTCTAATCATTTCTGACCTTGCCTTGCTGAACGGCCTCAGTTCAGAGAAACGTGTAGGGCTACGTCTCCTTCGTGTTTCCTACCAGCTTGTTTTATATATTATGACTGGATGTTATTTGCTGCAATTAATGTTTATTTTTTACTTTTTACTTTAAAAAACCTCATTTAATTGACTTTTTTTTTCTCTATTTAAAAATAGTTAAAGCTCCAAATCAAATGCCCATATATGGTCAGTCACCCCATATCATTTTGATGTAGGTGTTTCATGCCAGGGTGGATTAGTTCAATTTGAACTGCTCATTTTAAAATGTTCTAATATTTCATGAAAATTTGTTAGAAAATGAACAAAAAATTTTTTTGCCTCAACAGAAAATCTAAAGATTTATTAAAGTTCTGCTTATAAATCATTATAATATTTCTGTTTCCGTCAAATAATTCATTTCATGGTTTTATTTAATCAAATAAATTGTAGTTTGTATAAGATTTATATGATCATATAAGGTTAGAAGAAGCGGTTCACCTGTTGTGAAGTTCTGGGGTTTGACTCACAGAGGATGAGGAGGAGGAGTGTGATGAAGACGCCTGGAGGTCTGCAGCAGACCTCTTCCTCGGCTCGTCTCAGAGGCTTAAATACAGTCTCTTCATTGGCCGTGAGGTGTTTGATGACTCATCACAGTAAGTCGTAGAGGAAGCAGATCATTAATGAACAGGTGTAACTTCACTCACCTGCCCTCCGAACAGAACCAGACATTCAGAGGTTTTGGGTTCTGAGCCCGTCTGTTTACACAATTATTATACGTGTAAAAAAAAATCACACTTTTTATTTCCTGTCAAATAAAAAAGACAAGAAGTGTAAAGGAAGGAGGTGCGTGACAGCAGGTGAGTTGAGGTCAGGGCGTTAGCTGGAAACCAGTGTCTGTGAGGCTGTAGCTCCCAGTTTAATGAACACGTCTTCCCGTTTAGGTGTGGAAGGATGGCTGAATAATTAAAGATGTAGTTAACAACATCCTTATTTACCAGAATCCGTCTCTGTGTGTGTGCCCCCCTGTGTGTTGTGTGTCTTTGTGTGTCACAGCTAACCGAGCACAGAGCGGAGCAGCCAGCAGCTCTCAGACGGGAGACGCCTTAGGGAAGGCGCTCGCATCGGTACACACACACACACTCGGAACCGCTCTCGTTGCTTCCATCCTGCTGATGTCCTTTCAGTGATTTCACATTTTAATTGTCTCCTGTTTTGTTTGGTTCCAGATCTATTCTCCAGATCACACAAACAACAGCTTCTCCTCTAACCCCTCCACCCCAGTCGGCTCTCCGCCCTCCCTCACAGGTAAACGCCTCACAGCCCTGGTCCAAACTCCACTGCAGCTGGAACACTAACCCTCTCGTGAAATATTCAAATTTCTATTAAAAATCTGTAAAACCTGAAAAAGAAATAGTGACATTTTTACTAATTTCTCCTTTTACTTTTCTTTGAGTAACAAATTCTTCTCAGTTGGCTCCAGCTACTCCCAAGTTTATCCCACGCCTCTGTCCCGTTCCGGGACCTCCGTGGAGATTCTCGCTGTTTTATTGTTTATTATGAATAGGGCTGCAGCTAACGACTAGTTTAATAGTCGACTAGTCACCAACTATTACAACGATTAGTCGACTAATCAGATAATTAATACATTTTTCTTAAATTTAGCATGAGATTGCTTTAATTATGTGAAAAATGATAGTAAACACAAGAAAGATGGGTTAGCGATGGGTACCGAATTCGGTACTTTTTAAGGTACCGACCGAATTCCATACTACTGACTGAGCACCGACTCACGTCATTTGAAACGGTGCCTCGTTTCGGTACCCGTCCTTCATAACGAGAACTCGCCTAGACAGCTGCGCATGCGCAAGAGCGTTATGTCGTCGGTCGCTGCGAGCGAGTTGTAAACAGAGCAGCACGGTAGAAAGAACGCACGCTAAAGCTTGGGTCCACTTCACTAAATGTGATGGGTAACTGGGTGATGATGAAACCAGCAACAACGATCTAAGTGAGATCCTCATCTTAATCTGCTCCGGTAGGTAAATAAAATGTTTAAGATAACGTTAGCTTGATATGTTAGCTTCCGTTTCACTAATGGTGCGTACGCTTTCTCCTCGGAACTCCGAATTCCCGACTAGAAGAACATGAACGTGCTCTTAAGTTTGTCTTCACTTTACTCAATGCGACAGGTGATTGGGTGAAGATGAAACCAGTGACAACAATCTAAGTGTGAGGCATCATCGTTTTAATCTGCTTCAGCAGCTAAATAAACTGTTTAAGATAACGTTAGCTTGATATATTAGCTTCCATTGCCACCATTGTTATCAGCTAATGGTGCGTTCGCTTTCTCCTCGGAAATTCTAACTTCCCAGTAGGAAAAATCAAATGAAAAAGGACGGCAAAAGGAATGAAGATACACAGTAAATTTAGTTCACAGTAAAGATGTTTGCTTCAGTTTAATTATCAGCTTATAAAACTACAAGGACGATGTTAAAATACAAACAGTTGTGTGTTATTTATCGTGATATTTATCAAATATGGTTATATATTGAGAAAATATATAATTAATTATAAAAGAGAATTAAAATATTAAACACTCAAAAGTATCTAAAATTGGTACCGTTAAGTACCGGTATCGATTCCTAGGTACCGGGAATTTGTACCGAATCGATTCAAATGTCAAAGGTACCCATCCCTAAGATGGGTACTTCAATGAAAAACGCATATTTTATTGAACTTTGCTGCTGATAGGCCGATTCATACTAACAGTAAAAAAAAAAAAAAAAGCCGTCTAACACCAATTAGGCACAGTGCCCAGTCAGTACAGACATGAATGCAAAATTAAAATTAAAATACTTTTGTCAGGCACAGTCGGACATAAGATTAAGTCTCTATTTTAAAAACAAAACGTGTTAGCTTTCGTGTTATTTAAATCTTACCAAGGTGAGTCAGACTCTGTTTCATTCAACTGTCCGACGTGCTTTCTCGTTAAGTGTTCATGCATCACCGAGGTGCTGCCGTGATACGCGAGGACTGCTTTACAAATTATGCAGGTAAACTTTATTCGCCGAATCCCGGCTAGAATGCTCCCAAACTTTAGGTGTTCTGGTACGCGTAGCTGCTGTGTCGGACGCCGCCATTTCTGTTAGCTGGCGCTCAGCAGAGACGCTATTGCCCACGTGCGACTCTCGGCAGAGATTGTAATGAAGTGAGATGCCTCACTCGGTCGGACTAAACACCTCTGGCGACAACGTCAACACTGAAATTCATTGTCGACTAATTCTTTTGTCGATATTTGTCGAAAACGTCGACTAATCGTTGCAGCCCTAGTTATGAATTTTCCAAAAACGTTTCAGACTCTCAGCGACACCGGAGCATATGGAGGCGCCTCACAAATGCTTCAGAAGCTCCTTCGTGGTCTCAGCCCAGTGACCTGTTGGGGTTAACTTTTAAAGTCTCATGTCTCTGTGACCAAGTCGACACGCTGACACGACCCTAAAGCGTTGGAGCTGAACCGAGTTTTAGAAACTCTCCTTTAACCAACGTTTATTTTGTTGAGGGTACTCAGTATTGATCCCTGGTTACCATTTGGTAAACATCGCTGCAACGTTGCACCAAGGATTCATAAACAGCAGCTGGATGTGATGAAGGAGCTTAAAACGTGCTTCTAACGGCGTTTATGTGACAGCTCTGTGTGGCTCATTGGCTCGCTTTAACATCTCTAACGGAGATTTAAGATGCTGAAGACGAGTTCTTACATTAAATGGAAGGGTTTTTTAATCAATCAGTAAAAGTGACATTTAAAGAGCAAGTCACCCCCTACCAGATTCTCACTCCACTCCCACTTCCTGTTTGAAAAATGCAACAAATGCTGTTGCCTAGCAGACCGAGAGGGCAGAGCCGCTAACAAATACACACACACACACACAACATTGTGACATCATATGGTACCAGCTAACGTTCTAGGGTACCTCTTAGCCAATAGCGATGGCAGATTTAAATTCAAATGCAGTGCAGAGTTTTTACCTGACAACGGCACAACACTGACAGTTTTAGGCAGAAAATTTAAATTTTAACTAAAATGCACTAAAGTGCAAAACTATTGACTACATCCGTGTCTGCAGCACGATTAGACGCGCATTTATATAGTTTATCAGAAAAATAAGTTGATTTGGGGGTGACTTGCTCTTTAAGCACGACATTTTCATTGGTCGTTGTCCTCCTTGGCCCCGCCTCCTGCTTCTGATGGCAGCGGTTCTTTTCACAAGTCCAGCAGACACTACGGCATCGCTGATGTCATTCCTTAGAAATAGGTCAACGTCAGAGATGGATCCTCATCAGTCAGGACGGGGCGATCTGTTCATTATAGGATGGATTTGTGCGTTTCGACGAGCTGCCAAAGCAGAGAGATCGTAGAGTTGTTCAAGCTAATGAAAGACTGAGAACAGAGAAGCTGTTTCTGCCCAGACCATTTTAGATGCGACACACTCGAAGCCTGATTGGTCGGTTTTTCTTTAAACATCTTTTGTACGTTCCTTCTGTGTTTTTCTTCTGTTTGCATTTTAACACAGGAAAGTTATTTTTTTACCTTGCTGACTGTTTCGATCACTCCTGCGGTTTTCATCAGAGCTAGTCGCTAATGGCGGCTTAACTTCCTTCTCCATTTGTCCGCGGGCAGCAGAGGACAGTGTCGCCCTCTGCTGCCCGCTCTCTCCCCTCCAATGGCACAGCCCCATGCCTGATGAATAAACACTGATTGGTCCATGTTCACTCGTAAAAATAAACCAGGTCATGCTAAAGGTGTGTTTCCTTGCTGGTGATTTATGCCAGAATCGGGTTAACTAGTTGTGTTACTAGCCTGTTAGCTAAATTAAGCAAATTACTAGCTACATTTTTTTTGCTAGAGCTTCTTTAACATAGAGAAATAATGTGTCGAGTAACAAGTTGGTGAATTAAACAGAAACAATCATATAATCGATCATAAAATCGTGATTTCACAATTGATTCACCCCTCCCCCGATCAATTAAAACACCCTGACACACTTATTTTCTTATTTTATGAGACTTTGTTGAAACAACTTTCAAATAAACTCAGAACATTTCTGCTAATTTCACCTAATAATGCCTTTAAATGAGAAACGAACATTAACATGACGTTTATAATATTATTTAGTAATTCAGGTGTAATTTTCTAATCTATTTAAAGCTAACACCTTCTTAATGCCGTGCCTCCTCTCCACAAGCCTCCTCTGTTCCTCCCATTACTCCTCCTCCCAGCAGATGCTGGAAACTCGAGCTGCTCCTTAAAGTGAAAAATCACTTTTTCTAATAATAGTTGTGTCAAATTCGTCTCTAACTGTCGCTGCTACACACACCGTTTGATATTTCTCCACCTCGCTTTGTGACTGATAGCTTTAATTACGAACGCCACTTCGACAAATCGCTCACAAACCCAGCAGCACACTCACAGAACAACTCCCCTCTTCCTCCTCCTCCTCATCATTACCATTATAGCTGCAGAGGATATTGCCTGCGAAACCATAATTGGTGTTTATCATTGTGTCAGAGTTACTCCACTTTTAACAAATTAGAAATGAAGCCTATTAGAGCAAACTACATGCAAATTGATATCCAGGGCTAATTCTGTGAGGGTGTTTTACAGAATCGGACCCAGAATAATTTACCCTGCCGTTTAATACATATATTTGTATTTGCACATGAATGTACCCAGGTGATTATGCATTCATTAGCATATGGAAATGAGCATGTATTATGAATAAAGGAGAGGGGAAAGACAATAAAAACAGAAACGTGTGCTAATGAGACGAGATCAGAGTAACAAGAAAGAGATCAACAATAAGGCCACAGGAGGATGAGGAGTAGCGTAAAGAGGCAGAGTCCTCCACCAGGTCCAGAACTGCTGCTAGCATAACGGCTTTATCGGGTAAAGATGTGTAATAGTAGAACAACTCGTGCTGTCTGTGAATGAAAACATAAAACAGGGCAGGATATTAGCTGGTTCTGGTTCTTTACAAACACATTTTAAATCAGTCGTGTGATGTAGGAACTTTATTTTTAATAAAACAGATGAGTTGCTTTTTTTCATATTCTGTTTTTTAACACAAGCTTCTAAAATAGAAGCAGCTAGCTTAGCCTGTTAGTTGATTACGTTCAATAAATTTAATTCCATAAGGGATGGTATGAGTCTTTTTACCGATTTATGGTTCTTTCTAGTGCTTTTGAATGTTTGTTAAAACGGATAGTTTTTCTACTATCATCACTTTTTATGGTGCAGGAAAACCTTGAAAACTCGCATTGAAGGTGCCTGAAAGGTGGTTTAATCTGAATGTAAACAAAAGGATAAAAACTCTGTAGCAGATTTTAGGTTAAAGAAGATGTAGTTCCAGTATACAAAGAAATCTACTAGCTAGTTGTTAGCCTGCTAGCTACAAAGCTAGGCCTCTCTGGATAACAAAACACATGCAAATGGTTAGCTTAGCTTATTAGCTAAAGTTGTGACTAACAACTTTTGTTTTAATAAACTTTTTTGCACAATGTAATTAAATTATTAATATGTTGTTTAAAAACATATCAGTTGATGAAAATTTTCTAAATTTACTTTAACTATCAAAGCAAGCTAGCATGTTAGCAGTTAGCATATTAACTAGCCCGTATTCATTTTCTTTTGTCTTCTGTTCCTTAAAAGGACCATTTTCACCAAACTGTTGGGCTGATGGTTATCTTCTGTCTAAATATCTACTCGTACCTCAAAGTTTACTTGCATAGCACCAAATCACGACAAGAGTCGTCTCAAGGCACTTCACAAAGTAAAAATTCCAATACAGAATTATAGAATAGAATAATTAGAATAGATTATTTCATTTGTAATTTACAAATCCAGCTCTTTTTAGGCCCACAGGTATAAAATAAAAACCGCATCATAACCTTTTAGCTAACTTTCTGGCCTCTTATTTAAACTTTAAAGTGACGGTGTGTACTTTTCTTGGTGATAGTGGGCAGTAGATACCTAAATTGTTGCAAGCAAGCTGTGTTTTTGTGTTGGAGTAAGACCTTTCCAACGGATGCCCATTAGGGTCAAAAAGCCCTGGGGAGTGCAGAATTCAGCAAAACGACAAGTACATCAGGCTCCCTTTCATCAGTGGCAACGAATGAAGAGGTAAATGTGTAAAACAGCAACGTTTATGAATGGTGAAAGTTTTGTAACCGTTTGTTACAAATCAGTAATGCATTTTGTCCTTAAGGGCTCCCGTAGAAGGAAGGAAGGAAACAGCATCTAATATGGTGTCACCCTGAGACTTAGGGTGTTTCTCAACGTCAAGGTGCCTGGCCTTGCAAGGCGATTTCTTGCAAGGCCAGGCACCTTGCTTATGAGGACACTGTTCTTCCTTGGTCAAAGAAACCGGTTAAATGGAACAGACTTGCATCACGTGACCGCGGCTTCTGCAGTGGTCACGTAACGTCACGTCATGTGACACGGAAGATGAGATACATTTTATAAGTTTCAATATAAATATATGACGAGCCTTTTACTTTTTTTATTGTGTATATAGTTGTTAAATTAAATATGTAAGCTAGCTGCTAGCCACCGAAGCTGCAACTAACCAACCATAGATAACTTCTTTGGGCTGATATCTGAAATGTTTTTTTTATCCAATCTACAATTAGTTGACTTACATTTAAACTTGAACTTTGCCCCAAAGTAGCTGCTGATTCCTGATCCGCCGTCCTTTTGAAAATACTGCGGTGTATTCTGGGTAATTTTTGACCAAGGCTAGGCTACAAGATACCTCCCGTGTATCCTCGCTTAGCTAGCTAAATGGCTAACAAACGGAGAACACACACTTCGGTAGAACATGAACATTGGAACACGTCTTGGCGTTTTCTGATGACGTGTCTCCTAGGCAACCGGGGTGGGGTCAAGACATCCAGGCGAGGTTCCTTGGCATTGAGAAACACCTTTAGATCTGCTCCCATGTACAGACCTGCCAACCTGTACGCATTTTTTGTAGCCAGTACGCAATTTGGCATCTATTTACGCGGGTACGACTCACCCCTCTAAACTACACAAAAAGCTGCGGATACGGGAGTTGAGTTCTGTGGCAAATATGCGCGTGTGGTACTCATGTCTGACAACACGATTCAGCGGCGTGGTGACGAAGCTTAAGCCCATCGTCGTAGAAAGCAGATAAAAGATATCCTGCCTAACCTAGCGTAACACCCCCCCTCCCTGCTTCGTCCTGCCCGCTGCTCCTCTCTCCCTCCGGTTTGCCATTCGCTGCTGTTCTGGTAAGGTTAGTGTGTGTGTGTGTGTGTGTGTGTGTTTGTGTTTGTGTTTGTGTGTGTGTTTGTGTTTGTGTTTGTGTGTGTGTGTGTGTGTGTGTGTTTGTGTTTGTGAAATTTTCCACCCAGTAAATGGGAGATTACAGCGTGAAGAGCAATGGAGTTGCAACAGTCTGTGAAACAACGCTGCACGAGTGGTACTCAAAAAATTTTGACAAGGTTGGCAGGTCTGCATGTATTTTAGACCAGATTTTTTTGGTTATATATTACAAAGCCGCCAGTATTTATAAATAACTGCATCGTTAGATTCATTTTCAACAACGTTTTGATGGATATTTCCAGAGATTAATGATAAAAACTACACATTGTCCCTTTAACATATAAAAGACAAAAGTTTGCTCTAAACACATCAGAGCTTTTGTGAATAGTCTCCAGTCTGTGTCCATGCGCAGCACCCTGTCCCTCTCACAGACTCATGTATGTAAATGGGACTGCTGCCTACCTGCTAATGAGACCTGTTGAATCAGATGCGACTCTTCGGAGCAGCAACCCAAACAAAGGCTAAAACAAACACACAAAGCTTGTTTACTCTGCTGAGAGCTTTTGCTAATCAACCACTCGTACCTTTTCAGAGACAAAAACCAAACATTAGCATTTTCGTGATGAGATAAGACGGGTTTGATTTTGCTATTATCTCTAAACGTCACCAGTGAGAGATGTCGTGTGGGAAGTCGTTTTGTCTCAACTTCAGTTTATTAAGCAGAAGAAGGTTTTGGCTCTAATCCACACACTGACATCTCAGCATAGTCGCTGGGGATCGCTCTCCCAGCATGCACTGCGTTCATCAAAGACGGACGTCGATGAGGGGGCGTCGGTTTGAGCTAAACAAAAGCAGAAAACTTTTCAGGGTCAGTGAAGTCTCTCACACTATTGCTGGCTCTTCTGGTTTGGAGTTTGTTGTTCCTCTCTACCTCCTCTTGACGATGTCTCCTCCTCTTCTTCGTCTTAGCTGCCAGTTCAGCCGTCTGGTCCAGGAACGGAGGACAGGGAGCGTCGTCGCCAAACTACGAGGCTCCGCTGCACTCTCTGGTAAACAAACACACACACACGCGCGTTTGTCTTTCTATCTTAGTGAGGACCAGCCTTTGACTTCCATTCATTTTTGTGACTGTATTATGTCTAACCCTAACCACAGCCAGTGTTCAAACAGCGGCCAGATCTGGACTCTGGTTGGTTCTTTTCTTATCTAGTCCCGCCTGTTCCATTTGCTGATTGGTTAATTTTTCCATAGTCCTATATTTTCCATTTATGACTGGATTTTCGTTTCTGTCAATTTTTGTTGTTGCCTCTTGTTTGTCAACGAAAATGTCGCTCAATGTTTGTCATAAGTTGGTCTTTATTAGCGTGTATATTTTCATTTTGTTTTAATCTGCAAAAATGTATTCGTCAGTGTAACATAGCTAAAGGGTCCATTTTCACCTATATGTTGACCAACATAAATCCACTTTCTATTTGGCCTTCCAAACCCAGACGGTTCTGCAGTGCTTGTTTACAAGAAGAAAAACATTCAAACAAACATTCTCACCCAAGGTTCCTGCACTCACTGTGTGAACGCCAGACGTCAACATTCTTCACTCTGAATAAACGAAGACTCCACGATTTTACAACTCATAAGCTTACAATAATCAAATGTGATGAATGAACAAGATGTTTAAATCAAATGTTTGAATAATCTGTGCCTAAATCAATGAATTTTAATGAATATTGTTCTTACAATGATCCGTGTTTGATTTAACACGTTAATCATTATTTACACTCACACTTCACATAAGGTTAAAGATTCTTATTCACAGTGTTAAGAATCTTGTATCTGAGGAGGCGTGGCTTTCTCCGGGATGTTGGTAAAGACTCAGAAACGTGTCAAATTCTGATTGGCCAAACTCGGCCAGAAATCATAACAAAGTTGTTTTAATAAAACAATAATTACTTCCCGATTAATTCAGTTTCTCGCTGACCCTCGAACCGGCCAATTCGGGAAAGAAGCATTTTTGAAACCATCTTCTCCTTTGGCCTCCTGTCAAAGCCTCTCTGTAACGCTGCGGCTGATATCAGACCGCCGGCTCTTCTAAGAGCCAAGCAAACATCCGCCTTAGACGCAAACAAGCATTCCAGCTTTCGGCCTTCACCTCGAGGGATCTCAGACTGGATGGGTCCTATCGGAACTATCTACGGGTTCCTGCTATCAGAGTTCACTCCACCGGCAGTGACCGTCACCCCCCGGTCGAACGAGAACCTCCACACCAAGGGTGCGTAGACTTGGCACGACAGATTGCGTCTGATACTGTTTTTGATAAACAACTCTCTAGTTTATAGCAAACAACAAATTCTTTTACACCCAGAGTTCGCAATTTCTCTCACATACAAAGAACGGTTGCTATAACATCTTGCTTCCACCACAGCACCTCACATCCACCACACCACCTCTCATTAATCATATCTTGTCATGTATAAATGATTAGTTTAGGAAAAATAATTAAATTCATTTAATAAACGATATACTGAGTCTGTCTGGATTAATACGAAGTGTGTTTATGATCCTTGAATAAGCAAAGAACCCTAGAATCTTCTGATTAAACATTCAAAGATCAATCAGGTTAATATTTCATATTTTTATGGAATCATCACATCTTATTGGTCATAATTATGTATTAATTGCTACATCACAAAAAAAGAAGCAAAAATATTTAGTCATTGAAGGTAACATTATGCTACTGCCAACCCATGTTTCAGAACTGAGATGCTTCCTAATTCAGAGGCGAAATGTTTCCAACTAAACCTCGAGGAAGCCCAAAAGATGATGCTTCCTCTACCGTGCTTCGTTATTAGTCTGAGTTAAAACGTACTGACTAAATAACTCTAAAAATAGTGATTTTATTCCAGGTGTTTTCTTTCAAATGGCTGATTTTTCACATTTAAAACTAATTTATTTTCCGTTTTTACAACAGCTGTTTCCCATGTTTCCTGGAATCTGGATGTCATTCCAGTTTTTCCGGGTCCATGCTAACGACTGCTTTATCCTGCCTGTCGTCCTGCAGCAGAGTCGTATCGAGGACCGTCTGGAGCGTCTGGATGATGCCATCCACGTCCTGCGGAGCCACGCCGTGGGACCATCGACGGGTATGGCGAGCAGCCATGGCGACATGCACAGCCTCATTGGAGCCGCGCACACGCACAACGGCGCCATGGGCGCTCTGGGCAGCGGTTACGGGTCGGGACTGCTGTCGGCCAACAGACATTCGCTCATGGTAGGACCGGATGTTGGACCCACCTGCTTTAATTCTTTAAAACCCGTCACTGGTTCTAAAACTGATCAAATGGTGTTTTTCATCTCATTTGGGTAGTTTATAGGGATGTCCCGATCACGTGATCGGATCGGGCCGATTTTTTCATATTTTTCAGTGATCAGAGATCCGCAGTTATAACTGACGAGTCTTGCCGATCTTCCGAAATACACTATGAGCATGTTACCATATGCTACTTCCGGGAAAACAACTCATGTAGAGGGCTTCTTTTCTTGTGTGATAGTCACACCCTGTTTACGGTCTGTTTATGGATGGTTTTCGAAAAGAAGTCAGCCAAATGCATGACGAATCAAGTAGCCATTTACATTTTTTAAGATGTCTGGGGCACTTACCAAATTCCGCTCTCTGTTGTTGGCTCGCGTTTTCCAGGGAAAACTAAACCGTTATAAATTCCCCCCTACCACTCTGTGTTTACTCAAAAGTAGAGGGCACAGACGTATATGTAGACGCCAACGTGGACTAGCGTTGCCTATTAGAGCTGCCGTAGTGGCCGGCCGCCATTTTAGATGGGTCTCCATTCACCCCCAGTGCATTCATTTGTACTGAGACAGGCGCTTACCCCACTAACAACACACGAAAGCTTTTTCATAAAATCAGACACAAGGTATGGCTTGATCATTAAAATACAAATATTATTAAACAAAAAGTGAGAAGAGACACGTCTAATATGGCGACAATGCTGCTACGCTCTCCAGAGCCCAATGTGGCGTCTACATATTCATGTCTATGGTAGAGGGCGATATCGATAGCACTTTTCTTTATTATACCGTACCAAGTCAGCCTTTTGCATTTTACTTTTGTCCAAAACGTTAAACTGAAGCTGACCTATAATCTCTGTGAGATTTAGATTTCATGGGATTTAAAACAATGATGGTAATGCTTATTAATAAAATTAGTCTTAAAAAGTTAACGAGTTACTTGCTAAAAATATATTTCAGCTTTATTAATTTCAATAGTAAGGGCAAATTATCGGATCAGGACTCGAAATCGGATCGGATTTGAAGTTTAAAGATCGGATCGGGATCGGGACATCCCTAGTTGTAGAGAAAAATTATCTCAAACTTTTCATGTTTTTAGGAATCCAAACTAAAAGTTAAGCTTGGTTTCTGGCTCTGATGAACTCCCGATCCTCCTCCGTATGTGAGACCTAAATCATGAACAATCCTGTAATAGAGCCGAGGTCAAACTGAACACATCAAATCAGATGTTTTCCATTCAAACTTAGCTGTTTTCTCTTTTAAAACCATAAACATAAAGAGCCAAACAGCTGTGTAACACAAGGACATAAAACACACAAAACGCTGCTAAAGCAGATCCAGATGCAGCCACATGTTCAGTCCTGCTTAAAAAGCTGCTCGTCACCTTCATCTGTGCTCTATCTGGGTTCACCTTTCTCACTCAGGTGATCCTCAGAAACTCTTGTGGTGGTAAAGAGAAGCCCGAGGGAACGCCCAACACTCTGAGATTAGAATATGATGAGATTAGAAGAAAAACGATGAGTTTGAAAGTCTAGTTAGAAATTTCACTGCTAAATGGTTAAAGTTAAAATGATCAAAAATGTCTAGTTTAGGTTTAAAACTAACTTAGAAACAATAAAGAACGTTGGAACAATGGGACTTAAACCCCAAACAAAGTTTAAGGCACAAAACTAAAGATCATGAGTCAAAAGTGTCGACTAAAGCAGAAACACGGAGGTTAACCCCCAGAGACCCACAGTTGTAATATTACAACATCAGATTTGTCTACAAAAATAAACCTTCCCCATTTTTTTTTCTTTTTAAAACCACATTTACATTGCTAATAGGTCCTATTGTTCAGTTCTGCAACACTATTGGCTGTTAAAATGTGTAAATAGGCCCGTTTATCTGGCCTCCTAGAACAACATGTGAAAGGTTAAAAAAAGATTTTGCAGTTGTTTTCTAAATTTGGGTTTCTGGGGGTTAAAGAAGCTAAAAAGTTAAATTTCAAAATAAAAGACTAGACATAAAGACTAAAGTCCAGCCAACTGGGTTCTGGTTTTTACCAGTAATATTTATTTTACTGTAACTGGAGGTTTCTGGGTGTAAAAACGAAGCTACCATCATAAAGTGGTTTAGTTTTTTCTGCAGGAGAACTTCCATCAGCCCTTCAAAGTAAGAGTCTTAAACAATATTCTGTTGTTTGTTTTTTTGTTTCTGATCCAAGTGAAGGTTGTGAACCGAACCCGTTGTACAAAGTGGCCACAGTTCACTACCACAATGCATCGTGGGAAATGCAGCAGCTGCTTTAGTTGATAGGAGGAGTTTATTTTTTAGTTTATTATCTAAACTTCCTCCATATTTCTGTCTACATCTGAGTGTGCCCAACAGGCGGGTTTTTGGTTTGATTCGTTTTTAGTTCATGTGTTTATTCGTGCTGTTTTCTGTTTACAACCTAAACAGGAAGTAGATTTAAACATGACATCATCACATTTCATTTATTTCAGAGTCATGGTTTAGTTCCTCTCCTTTATTTGGTCACACGTTCTTTTCATTTTACCCAATTATTTTCTGTTGTTCCTGTTTAGAACTTCGTGTCTCGATGCGCTCGGTCTTCATTCTCGCACTCACACACGCACACACACACACACAGCTGGTTACATTTAGGCTGAAAGGCATGCAGGCTGAGATCATAACTCTGAGAAAACAGGTGGTAAACTGATGGTGGACAGACGTTTTTGCTCCTCAGCGCTGAACGCCTCATAAACACAGACATCCCGACGTTGGAAACTCTGAGTTTAGGTTTCGATCAGCTGACAGGAGCAGAACAACATGACTTTTACCTGAATCATACACTGCCCGGCCAAAATTAAAGTCACACACTCCTTAATATTTTGTTGGACCGCCTTTAGCTTTGATCACGGCACACATTCGCCGTGGCGTTGTTTCGATAAGCTGTCACCAGATTTATTTCCATCCAGTGTGGCATTCGTTCTTCACAGAACTTCATAATAAACTTTAACAGTTTTTTCTACTGTAGTAAAACTCCATCTGATCACTAATAAAAGAGGCTCAGGAGTTTTTTACTCGTGAAATGAAATAAATGGAGTTGATTCGTAGAAAACTGAAGACAACTTAAAAAAACAAAGTCTCATCCACGGCGTCTTAAAATCTTGAATTTGATTAAAGGAAAATAAAGTCTTACGTTTGGTTAGTGTTGACGTGAATGTAAAATACTTGCAAACTTGACGCTTTTCAGCGAAAATTGCCGTTTATGAAACCAAATCCGTTCACGTGAATGAAAGAGTTTTTGTTTTCAGAAAAGATGAGACTTTGGTCGGTTTTCAGTCGCAGTTTCAGACAAACGAGGAGTGTTCATCCTCTTCACAAACCATCTTTGTTGGTGGGTCACGAGTCGTCATTTCACCAATCACAGTCACGGAGACAGCTAGGGAAAAACACGCAGCGGTAGCCGGTATCACGGCGCTGCTACTACTGTTGCTTCAACGTCTCGCTGCGGTTGGAGCTTAAAGTTCGTAAAGTCAACACAATCCCCTCCAAGTACCACAGTTTTCTGTCCAGAACTTTAGCAGCTTTGCCTCCTTTCAGTTTCAGCTGATGTTTCCCGAGGCTTGTTTCCTTTTTGGGAGGGAGTTGAGGTCAAGGGTTGGTCAAAAACCCAAAGAAGATTCAGACAGAAAGGTGCTGCGGTTGTTTCAGATGCAAGCTAAACCCTTTAGGCACGCCTTCCCTACATATGTTATAGGGATGTGTATTGGTGAAATTCTGCGATACTTATCACGATACAGGGGAGACGATACGATACTTATCACGATATATTGCGATACATTCAGTCGGACAATATTAGCGATTTTTTTAGACTAAAATTATTGTAGGAAAATTCAATAAACGGTGCAAACTGATACTTAACATGATTAACATGAGGTGTCTGAACCATAATAGAGGGATTTACATTTCAGTGGTGGAAACAAACTCCATTCACACTGCTGCTGACTAGCGGACGGCATTTGATGTGCACCAAAAGAAAAGAAAATTCACAAATGTTTGCTGATGGGGGGTGGGCCAGGAGGAGCTGATGGGGGGTGGGAGAGGAGGAGCTGATGGGGGTGGCCCGGGAGGAGCTGATGGAGGTGGGAGAGGAGGAGCTGATGGAGGTGGGAGAGGAGGAGCTGATGGGGGTGGGAGAGGAGGAGCTGATGGGGGTGGGAGAGGAGGAGCTGATGGGGGTGGGAGAGGAGGAGCTGATGGGGGTGGGAGAGGAGGAGCTGATGGGGGTGGGAGAGGAGGAGCTGATGGGGGTGGGAGAGGAGGAGCTGATGGGGGTGGGAGAGGAGGAGCTGATGGGGGGTGGGCCAGGAGGAGCTGATGGAGGTGGGAGAGGAGGAGCTGATGGGGGTGGGAGAGGAGGAGCTGATAAGGTGGGCCAGGAGGAGCTGATGGGGGTGGGAGAGGAGGAGCTGATGAGGTGGGCCAGGAGGAGCTGATGGAGGTGGGAGAGGAGGAGCTGATGGAGGTGGGAGAGGAGGAGCTGATGGAGGTGGGAGAGGAGGAGCTGATGGAGGTGGGAGAGGAGGAGCTGATGGAGGTGGGAGAGGAGGAGCTGATGGAGGTGGGAGAGGAGGAGTTGATGAGGTGGGCCAGGAGGAGCTGATGGGGGTGGGCCAGGAGGAGCTGATGGAGGTGGGAGAGGAGGAGCTGATGGAGGTGGGAGAGGAGGAGCTGATGGAGGTGGGAGAGGAGGAGTTGATGAGGTGGGCCAGGAGGAGCTGATGGGGGTGGGCCAGGAGGAGCTGATGGAGGTGGGAGAGGAGGAGCTGATGGAGGTGGGAGAGGAGGAGCTGATGGAGGTGGGAGAGGAGGAGCTGATGGGGGTGGGCCAGGAGGAGCTGATGGAGGTGGGAGAGGAGGAGCTGATGGAGGTGGGAGAGGAGGAGCTGATGGAGGTGGGAGAGGAGGAGCTGATGG